CCCAAGATCCCGAGAGGAGAATGGAGGAGAAGGGATTGCGGCGTGACCATCCCCCCTGGGGGGTGATTTCTCGCTTTCTGTCTCTATGTCTTTCTCTGTCTGTCTGGCGAGCGCACGCGCCCTACAGTGAAAATCTCTCCAAAAAAAAAAAAAAATGATAAAAGTTTACCAATAGATCTACCTACATATTCCTCTTTTTTAATGCATCATTTCTTTATTAGCAAATTATACTACACAAATCAGGTTACTTTTTCTAAAAATATGGAACGTTTCACGAATTTGCATGTCATCCTTGTGCAGGGGCCATGCTAATCTTCTCTGTATCATTCCAATTTTAGTATATGTGCTGCTGAAGCGAGCACTTTTTTTTTTTTTAAGAGAGATTTTTGCTATAGGGTATGTGTGCTTGCCTGAGAGATAGAAAGACAGAAAGAAAGAAATCACCCTCTAGAGGGGATGGCCACACCGCAATCCATTCACCTCCATTCTCCCCTCGGGATTCTGGACACTCATGCACATATGCCTGGTGCGAGTTTTAAGGTGCCGGGTCCAGGACTTGAATGGCAGTCGACTACACAAGAGTCCAGCAATGTAACTATTATGCCATCTGAGGGTCTCTCATCTACATATTCCTTTAATCTATAAGATTATCAACTCTTTAGCTTGGCATTTAAACTCTTCCATAATCAGAAATTACCTGTTATGGAGTCATTATTTGTGTCCCTCCTAACCCCATTCACATGGTGTAGGCTTAACCTCTAATGTGGCCTTCTCTGGAGGTGAGACTTCTAAACAAGGCATTAAGGTCATAAGGGTGAGGCCTTGATCTGATAGGACTAGTGTCCTTATAAGAGGGGACACCATAAAGCTCTATCTCAGCACATACACCAAGGAAAGGCCATCTGAGCACACAGCAAGAAGGCGACCAGAGGAGAAACCCCTCATCAGACACCTTGATACTGGACTTTCAGATCCCTGAACTGTGAAAAAGATCAATTTCTGCTATTGAAGCCACCCAGTGTTGGTATTTTGTTACAGGAGCCTGAGCAGGTTAATACTCTACCTCTATTACTAAATGTTCCCTCATTTCAGAAAATGCACCTTGTTGAATTCTACTAGATGGGAAATATCTCAGTGTACAGGGAAATCAGATTCATAAAAAAATGTGCTATTGAAAATATCATTTGCAATCGTGTGTAGTCAAGCTGCCTTGTAAAAATTATGCTTACCCTTGAAGAGTAACATACTCTTGGGAGCTTTCAGCCCAACAGCCACTCAGCATTGCAGCAAAATAACTAGATCTGGCACTTAGAATGGCCCTAAAGGGAAGGGGGGAGAAAAACACAGGTAAACATTTATGTACTATGCAAAATGTAATTTTTAATGGAACTTTTCATCTTTACCTTTTCAAACATCATAGCAATCTATTTATCTTGTTTGTATTTACTGGCAAGATTATAATAAGAGTAAAATTTATAAGCCTATATTTATACCTAAGTGTTTTAATTGTTTAAAACATTAATTCCAATGCCCTCATTATCTTTTAAATTTTTCTCTTTTGGAGTTCTTTAATTTTAATAATAATTGAAATGGTTTCCACGACTAAGAGATAAGTCATTTATGAATGGAGAATTAAAAACCAAAGATATTATTTAACAGCTTGAGGAAAATCTCTCTTAAAAAAAAAAAGTGCTCGCTTCAGCAGCATATATACTAAAATTGGAACGATACAGTAAGAAAGAGATGACATTTTTATTTGTCAATTAAAAAAAATTTCTTAGAGGTTTTTACCATAGGTAGCATGTGCTCTCCAAAGAGAGAGAGAGAGGGAGACAGCAACAGTGAGAAGTAGAGTGAGAAATCACTCCCAGGAGGTGGCCCATGCTGCAATCCCTTTTCCTCCAATCTTCTCCCAGGATCTTGAGCATACATGCACACCGGCTCATCATGAGTTTTAAGCCACCAGGCCCAGGACTTGAACCATGGTTGGACATGTTGGAGTCCAGTGATGTAACCACTATGGCCCCTCAATTAAATATGTTTAATTAGGGGCCAGCAGTTGGGGTAATAACTATGTCACTGGACTCCCATGTAGCCAACTGCAGTTCAAGTCCTGGCCCCAGTGGCTTAAATTCATACTGGGCGGGTGTGCATGCGTGCCCAAGATCCTGAGAGGAGAATGGAGGAGAAGGCATTGAGGAGTGGCCACCTCTCCTGAGGGGAGGTGATTTCTCGCTTTCTGTCTCTGTCTCGCTTTGCCTTTCTGGCGAGTGCACATGCCCTGTAGCAAAAGCTTCCCCCCCCCCAAAAAAAATATATATATTAAAAAAAGAGAGAGAGATTACTTTTAAAGGTCCCAAGTTCCAGTTCAGAACTCCCTCTAATTGTATTCAAGAGAGGCTATGTCTTATACTTGAGAAAATGACAGGAAATATATTATGCTACATTTACATTCTATCTTCTCAAGTAAAGTGTTGATTAATTCATTCCTTTTTTAAAAACAACTGCCAAAGGGCATGTGTGCTCACAAAAAAAGAGAGAGAGAGAACTCCCAATGTGGCGTGGACATGCCCTGATGCTTTCTCATCCATTTCTCCAGCCCATCGTGATTGGGGAAGGTATGCACTCTTACCCTGTGTATTTTTCAGGCCACCGAGACCAGAATTTGAAATATAGTTGAGCATGTGGGACCTGATTCTCAATGCACAGCACAGAAGCACTGTGCTGGGGCCCAGGGAATTCATTCTTTAATCCGACAAATACCCGCAGAGTTTCACACAGTGCTATGCACTATTTTTGGTGCTGAGAATACAGCACTAAATGAGATACACTGGACAATGTTATATTCCAGAGGAAGATTTACTAGCAGAGGATAGGGAAAGGGAAAGACATTTATGGCAACTGCTTACTAGGTTGTCTCATACCTGAATCCTGAAGGGCTGAACCACAGGAGAAACAGTGAACAGGAAAAAGACTAGGCCTTATTGTAACTGCAGGCCAGCTTTGTATCAGCTCAACTCCTGACTGGAACAAAGCAATCACCATCTAGTCTAACTGACAGCCAACGTAAAAGGAAATCCTATCTCCATTAAAATAACATCACCCAGAGTGTCAAATTATTTCTGTGAGTATTCAATGAAATGGCCAGCAAATCCAAATATAATGCAGTTGTTCATACTAATGAATACCTTGAAAATGAATGGAAAAAAATGAAAGAAAGAAATGAAATAAAACTCTGCTGAGATAAATTTAAAAAGATCTAAAGAAGAGCTAAAGTGTGCTCATGGATTTGAAGACTAAAAACTGTTAATATATCCATTCTTCCTAAGTTTATTTTTGGGTTTAACACAATGCCAATCAAGTTTTTTTAGTAGCAATTGGTAAGTTGATTCTAAAATATACATGAAAACGCAAAGGACCCATAACAGCCAACACAACCAATCAAACAGAACAAAAAGGTTGGAAAACATTAAAAAAAAATTTTTTGGAGAGGTTTTTGCTATAGGGCGCGTGCACTCGCAAGAAAGAGAGAGACAGAGAGATAGAAAGTGAGAAATCACCCCCCAGGGGGATGACCATGCTGCAATCCCTTCTCCTCCATTCTCCTCTTGGGATCTTGGGCATGTACACACACACACACGCACCCAGCGTGAGTTTAAGCCACTGGGTCCAGGACTCGAACCGCGGTCGACTACATGGGAGTCCAGCGACATAGCCATTATGCTAAATGCTGGTTCCGGAAAACTATTTTAGGCAATATGATGTCACTTACATAGTAAGTGATGTATAGTGATTAAATATGTAAATAATTTAAAAAAAGGTAATGGTAATTATAACAATGTGGTATCCACATAAAAACAGTCACATACAGCACTGGAACGAATCCAGAGTCCAAAAACAGATCCACATATAACTGGCCAATTGTAACAAAGGTGTTAGGATAACTGAAAGGGGAAAAAGACCGTTTTGTCGACAAAAAGCAATGGAGCAACTGGATGTTTGTAGAGAAAGAAATGAACCTTAACATTTAGTGCATACTACATAAAAAAAATCAACTAAAAATTAACCAAAACCTGAATGTAAAAGCTATCATATTATAAGCTCCCTAGAAAACAAAATAGAACAAAACAGGTTTGCAACTCTTAGGTAGACAGAGATTTCTCGGGATACAATACCCATGAAACTTCTTTTTAAAGAATTATTCTATTTCATTTTATTCATTGTCATTATTTTATTTTATTTTATTTCATTGACGTTAACCAAAGAGAGACAGAGACAGAGACAGAGAGAGAGAGAGAGAGAGAGAAGGAAAGTGAGAAAGCAAGTTGCCAGGTCTAGGACTTGAACCACGGTCAGCCAAGTGGAAGTTCAGATGCCTTAACCACTATGCCACCTGCTGGCTCTAATTTTTTTTTTTTTTTTTTATAAATAAAAATTTAGCCTTAGCAAAATTAAAAACATCGGTCCTTTTAAAGTCCTTTAAAAAATTTTACTAGATAGGCCCAGCAGATGGCGCAATGGTTACATCACTGGACTGCCACATGACCGATTGCGGTTCGAAATCAGAACCTGATGATTTAAACCTCAGGCCAAGTGCTTGTGCATGTGCGCCCAAGATCCCAAGAGAAGACTGGAGGATAAGGGACTGTGTTGTGGCCATGTCCACAAGGGGATGATTTTTCACTTTCTGTCTCTCTGGTGAATGAACATGCCCTATAGCAAAAATCTCTCTCAAAAAAAAGTTTGCTAGAAGGTACATGTGCATACTGGAGAGAAACAGAGAGAGGAGAGGGAAAAAAGCTTTCTTTACTGAGGGCATGGTCAAGCCACAATCCTTTCTTCATTTCTACATTCTGTCAGGATTTGGGACACCCACCCACATGTGCCTGGCATGTTTCTCAAGAGGCTGGGGTTGAGATTTGAACTGCGCAGTTGGCCATGTAGTACCTAGCTCCCTTAACCACCAGGTCCTGGAGTTGGCCCTAAAGTCACTTTTAAGAAAAGTGGAAAGATAAGCAAAATACTAGAAGAAAGTATTTGTTATAAATACATATTAGGTCATCAGCAAAGTCATGATGCATTTCTACATAGAAAAACAAAAATACTCATGACTTCCTGACGACCTAATAGTATATATATATATATATATACACACACACACAATTAATATATAAAATATACACACATATACACACATATAATAACTCATAAAGTCTAGAATATATCATTTTAAAAATACACAAGCTAAAAAATGGACACACAAAAAAAGATCAAGTAAGAACCAATTGCTAGTAATAGTTTTACTTCAAAGCTAATATTTATAGCTTGTTATAAAAAATGTTATCCTATCATGTTTTGAGCATTAGGTTAGTATTAGAAAAAGTTATGGTCAAAACAGTACATGACTCATTTTAAGGGGAAAAAAGTATATGTAACACAATAGCTTACTTACATTTATCACTCTAAGAGTGCTTTTTAAAAAATGGGCAAAAGATTTGAATAGAAATGGTCAGTGAGCACAGAAGATGACACACAATATCACCAGTGATCAAGGAAATACAAATTGAAATTACGACATAGACACACACACACACACACACACACACACATACATATATATATATATATATACACAGACATACATATATACACAGACATACATATATATATACACACACACACACACACATATACATATATATATATATACACACAGACATACATATATACACAGACATACATATATATATACACACACACATATATATATCAACACATCCCTATTAGAGTGGCACAATTAAAAAGACTGAAAACGTCAGGTGGTGGTGAAAGTGTGGAACAAACAAAACTGCATCATGAAGATTGGGAATATAAAATAACACAATCTCTTTGAAGAGAGGTTAGTCAATTTCATAAAAAGTTAATGGCAACTTACCATATGACCAAGCAACTACACTTCTAGGTATTTACCCAAAATAAATGAAAATACATGTACAGAGACTTGCACCCAAATATTCATACTAACTTTATTAGTAGTAGCTAAACACTGGAAAGAATCAGTATGTCCATCAAAAGGAGAATCAATAAATAAATTTTGGGATATTCACCCATACAGTGCTATTCAGCAATAAAAACTGAGTGAACCACATACACAAGTAATATCCAAAGGTGAAGTTCAAAAACATGCAGAGCAAAAGAAGACAGACTCAGTATGTTGAGTCCATTTATATGAAATCCTAGGACAGACAAAATAACCTAGTTTATAGAACACAATGAGAAAAAAATACAATTTAAAAATGAGCTAAAGTTATGAACAGAA